CTCACTCTACTGCCCAGGCTAGAGTGGAATGAAGTGGCATGATTCCACTTCACTGCGTCCTCCAACTCCTGGTCTCAAACAATCCTCTTGCCTCAGCCTCCCAAGTAGCTAAGACTACAGACCCCACCCAGCTAATTTTTCTATTTTTTTGTAGAGACAAGGACTCATTCAATTGCCCAGACTGGCCTCAAGCTCCTGGGCTCAAGCAAACCTCCTGCCTTGGCCTCCCAAAGTGCTGGGATTACAGGCATGAACCACTGTGCTTGACCTGCTAGAGTTTTTATCTCGTTGTTTCAGAAGACTAAGCAGGGAAGAGCACACTCCCAGAGCCAACCACCGAGGGTGCTCCTCCCGGGCTGTGCCTGTTCTCAAATTCTGGGGTGGTACAGCTGCCAGACCCCAACTTCACAACTGAGTGTTTTCTTTCTTTCTTTTTTTTTTTTTTGAGTTGGAGTCTCACTCTGTCGCCCAGACTGGAGTGCAGTGGCCGCTCCCGGCCACCGCAGCCTCGACCTGCTGGGCTCCGGCGATCCTTCCGCCTCAGCCTTCCGAGTAGCTGGAATTACGGGCATGCGCTACCACGCCCAGCTGATTTTTTGATTTATTGTAGAGATGAGTCCTCGCTGCCCAGGCGGGTCTCGAACCTGCGGGCTCAGGCAATCCACTCACCTCAACCTCCCAAAGGCGCGGGATTACAGGCTAAGCCACCGAGCCCGGCTGAATTGAGTGTTTTCATAAGGAAGGCAGCTACTTGCTGGGGTTCGCTGGGGCTGAGGACGACAGAGGCCAGCATCCCCTGTCCTTGGGCAGAACCAGCTTCCCTGACACACAGCCAGAGCTAACACGTGTCTTGGGACATCTTGCACTTGCCATGTCCAATCTCTGATGGTGACCTTTCGTTTATCTTGTGGGCCTGGGACAGCCCAGACTGGCAGTGCCCCACACCCGGGAAACATGGGGGTCAGTTTATCAAGCACATCTTTTGTCTGGATAAAGCAACGCTTAGTGCATAACAAATGGACAAGAAGCCACCCTCCACACCCTCACCCATATACCAGGGATGCCAAAAAATGTATACACATTGAAGAGATGTTACCTACGTATTCTTTTTCTTTCTTTCTTCCTTTTTTGTTTGCATCGGAGTCTCACTCTGTCACCCAGGCTGGAGGGCAGTGACACCCTCACAGCCACTGCAACCTCGACCTGCTGGGCTCAGGCGATCCTTCCAACTCAGCTTTCCAAGTAGCTGGAGCTACAGGCACGTGCTACCATGCCTGGCTAGTTTTTGATGTTCTGTAGAGACGAGGTCTTGCCAAGTTGCCCACGCTGGTCTCGAGCCCCTGGGCTCAAGCAATTCTCTCGCCTCGGCCTCCTAAAGTGCTGAGATTTCAGGTTGAGCCTCCATGCCCGGCTTATGTCTTACTTTGCAATGTTGCATTAAATTATGGTAGCAATGTATAGTATGACATTCACTCATCCGTGTTTCTGCCATTTTCTTTGACTGTCCTACTGTTGCAGGGTGACGCTAGCATTCATTTGGTTCACGCCATCTTTTGAGCAAATGTCATACTTGAAATGGGTATACATGGCCGGGCTCGGTAGCTCAGCCTGTCATCCCAGCAATTTGGGAGGCCGTGATGAGTGGATTGCCAGAGCCCACGGGCTCAAGACCAGCCTGGGTAACTTGGTGAGACCTCGTCTCTACAATAAATCAAAAAAATTAGCCGGGCGTGGTCGTGTATGCCTGTAGTTCCGGCTACTTGGAAGGCTGAGGCAGAAGGATCACCGGAGCCCGACAGGTTGATGCTGGGGTGGCCGTGAGTGTGCCACTGCACTTCAGCCTGGGCGACTCCAATTAAAAAAAAAAAAAGGGTATATATTTTTTTGGCAACCCCGTGTGTGTGTGTGTTTTGTTGTTTTTGCTTCCTCCATTTTGTGTGTGTGTGTGTTGGAGTCTCACTCAGTCCCCCACACTGGAGTGCAGTGGCTGCTCCCGGCCACTCTAGCCTCGACCTGCTGGGCTCTGGTGATCCTTCCGCCTCTGCCTTCCAAGTAGCTGGAACTACATGCGCGCGCTACCACGCCCGGCTAATTTTTTTTTTTTATTGTAGAGATGAGGTCTCGCCTGCCCAGGCGGGTCTCGAACCCGTGGGCTCAGGCAATCCACTCGCCTCAGACTCCCAAGGTGCGGGATTACAGGCTGAGCTACCGAGCCTGGCTGCTTCCTGCCTTTTTTAGTTTTGAGTTGGAATCTCACTAGGTCTCCCAGGCTGGAGTGCAGTGGCACACTCAGGCCACTGCAGCGTCGACCTACTGGGCTCAGGCAATCCTTCCAAGGCAGCCTTCCAAGTAGCCGGAACTACAGGCGTGCGCTACCACATCTGACTAATTTTTTTGATTTATTGTAGAGACGAGGTCTCACCAAATTGCCTGGGCGAGTCTCGAACCTGCAGGCTCAGGCAATCCACTCACCTGGACCTCCCAAAGTGCTGGGATTACAGGCTGAGCCACCGAGCCCGGGCTATATTTTTTTTAGTTGGGGTCTCACTCTGTCGCCCAGACTGGAGTGCAGTGGCACGCTCCTAGCCACCGCAGCCTCGACCTGCTGGGCTCCGGCGATCCTTCCACCTCAGCCTTCCAAGTAGCTGGAATTACAAGCATGCGCTACCACGCCCGGCTAATTTTTGATTTATTGTAGAGACAAGGTCTTGTTATGTTTCCCAGGTTGGTCCCGAATTCCTGGGCTCAGGCAATCCTCTCACCTCATCCTCCCAAAGTGCAGGGATTACAGGTGCAAGCCACCGCACCCGGCATTAGGTCCATTTTAGGGGGAAACTGAGGTGCAGAGGCTCGCCCTGATGGAGGGCCTGCCACATGCCAGGTGCTTAATCATTATGACCCCTTTCAGTTCCCACAACTGCTGTGGGGAGTAACTGGTGGTCACCTGTGTTTTACAGCTGTGGAAACCGGTTCAGATAGGGAAATGGCTTGCCTGAGGTCACACAGCAAGCAGCTGCCGAGGGCTAGCTTTGGGACACGCAGCCGGCTGAACCCAGCCCTGGCCAGCCCTCCCCTTGGTCTCTCCTGCTTTGGGGCCCAGGCCAGCCTGACACTGCTGTCCCCTGGGCAGGCATTGTCCCTGAGGACCTGGTGGAGCAGACACGGGCAAACAGCCTTTTCCTCTTCCCTGTTTCCCTAGGGCAAAGCCAGTTTCCAGAACGAAAAGGGCAGGAACCTTGTACAAGATTCCTTTGTCAGGGTCCTGCCAGAACCTGGGGAGGGGATGGGGCACAGCCAGGTGAGGATTTTTGTTTCATTCTGAGTCGGCGTCTCTCTGTGTCGCCCAGGCTGGAGAGCAGTGGCATGATCACGGCTCACCGCAGCCTGGACCTCTTGGGCTCAGGCAATGAGAACGTGAACATCTCTGCGGGGGCGTCATCCGACCGACCGCAAATAGCAAAGTCGAGTTCATGCAGGTGTGGTTGCGGCTGGGTGTCCAGGCCAAGTGGTGTGCAGGCAGGTGGTGCGGTCCTCATGCCCACAACCTGCCCTGACCCTCCAGGAGGCAGGCAACACTTGCCAGGTGGGGAGGTCCTGCCAGCTGCCTGGCCTTGTGATTTCCACCCAAGAAGGCAGGCGCCTGCACACTTCCATACTCCAGGTAAGAAAACATACCTGCCGGGAGTGGTGGCTTACGCCTGTAATCCCAGCACCTTGGGAGGCAGAGGCAAGAGGATTGCCTGCACTGAGGGTTCGATACCAGAATGAGCTACTTGGTGAGACCTCGTCTCTACAATAAATAAAAAAATTAGCCAGCTGTGGTGGCGTGTGCCTGTAGTTCCAGCTACTTGGTTTTTTTTTTTGAGTTGGAGTCTCATTCGGTCACCCAGACTGGAGTGCAGTGGCCACTCC